TATATGTGTGTATGTATGTATACATTCGCTTGGACTTCCTCATGACTCGTTTAAGCTATTCATATGTACATATGTATGTGACATTGACCCGTTGTATGGACCCAGAGGTAACATATCGCGACCACAATGCAAATGACACCGTCGAAAAGCATGTTTGTGTTTATGTATGGGCGAATGTTTTGGCCGTTTTACGCATGCTCATCACTCGGTCACTTGCGATGTTGGTGTTGTAGCGTAACATGTATTTATGGCCAACTAATTTTATGCTCCAGCAGCGTCTATGAAGACACACTTTTTGGAGTCTGTGGGCTTAATACGTTTGTGTAGATGTTTATGTGCATACATATTGTATTCATGGGGCATTCCGGGGAAAATCGGACTCCATTTGACTTAAGCATCTACGATTTTTTTTTTTTAATTTCTTATGTCATAGCAAAGGCTTCCCTACTTTAACATTTTTTCCAGCCGTTTTCGAAAATCGATTTTTGAAAAAAACAAAATTAAAATTTCCCTAAATTTGCTAAAAATTGGCATATTGGGAACGTTTTTAAAATTTTTTTTCGAAACACTTAGAATATATAATCGAAATTTATTTTCATAAAAGGATAACCTTTTTTATATAAAATGTTGATTTCCAAAAAAGACGTATTTGATCTATTCACTTGAATTTTTTTCTAAAAAACGGTTCCTAATTTCACTAATTTACAAAGTTCGATAATGGTATAACAATGAGATTTATTTTTTTTTTTAATATTTTAGTATAATAAAGTGCAAGCTTGAAATAGCTGGGACTAGCATTTTTTTATATGGAAGAAAATAAAGGTGTTGCCTTCAACAAAACAAAAATTGTGAAAACTAAACGGTTAGATCATAGTGTTGCCCAATTATAGGACTAGCCTTACAATTTATGAAATTAGTGACATTTGTTACAAACCATTTTCATGTAACTCGATTAGTTCGTGGTTTTTGGAAATAAATATTTTAAGTATATTAAAATTGTATAAAAATGCGGTACCAATCGGCTCATTTTTCGCAAAGTTAAGGTCCTTTAAAAAAGGAACGATTTTTTTCAAAAATCGATAGCTAGACAACAGCTGCACAAAAAAGAATCCGGGAAGCCCCTCTTAATTGGTAACATGAATAACATAAAAAATTTTGAAAAAAATCCGAGCTGCAAAAACTAAATGGTGTTTGATTTGGCGCGAAATGCCCATATGTATGAACATTAGGCATATGACCTAAAATTAAATATACCTATTAAGAGAGGATTAGTGATGACAAGAAACCAACTCTCCCGAAAAATATTCCTTGATGCTAGGAAAAAAAGTATATTATTCTAAGGAAATATTACCTTAAAATGGCTCCGATGGCATGGCTGTCTTAATATGAGTAAACGATTTGACTCAGTTTAAGGAAAACAGTGTATTACGAAAAATTTATTTGCCATTTCATCCCCCGTGAAAGGAATAAGTATGCTATCTTGCTCGTGGTGCTCAAACAGTGGCAATGGCCGAGAGCCCAAAGCTCTAGCGCTAGGTATTCCATACAATATTTACACCTAAATATTTTTTTTTTGGGTGAAATATATATTTTTACATTCTTTATCAAAAAAAAGAAGACACCTATTAGTATAAACTTTATGTACGCAAGTATGAAAAAACTCGTAACTTCTACAGTTTTGGTGTTGCCATTCTCAAATTTTTAAAGCTTACTCCATAAAGTATGACAACTATTCAGGTTGAAAACAAATCAAACATGATGAAGTTAATAAAAATAAAAAATTAAAAAAATGCGATTTTTTAGTACAATTTTTTATTTTATTCTAATCTATCTCACACTCTCATAGAAAGCCGAGGAAATTATACATATTTTGATACCTTAACTGATTTTCTCCGAGAAATAGTTTATTAAAAAAAGATACTTCTCCGTGAGTTCAAAATTTCGGTATTTTTTTTTTGAGATTTTCGAACATCATGACGAGATAAAAAATAGGTGCCTTTTTTCGATAAAGAATGTAAAAAAAAAAATATTTCACCCAAAAAAAAAAAATATTGAGGTGTAAATATTGTATGGAATGACCCATATGTAGGTAACGGAGAAAATAATTTAGGTTTTGTAAAATGAATCAGTGAATACAAGGCGAATCTATACAAGGTGGTGTTGCAAGATCAGTTGATTTCTTCGTCTTACATGTTTGCACTTTGTTTTTGCTTTTACTTATTTGACAGCACACCCATCAAAAGCAAAAACAAAATACTTGTAAACTTTGAGGTAAATTGAGAATTGACATAACACCCGCAATACAAAATACATGTGGTTGTTGTTATTGTAACCTATATTTGCCAGTAACAGGAACTTGTATAAATAAATTCGCCTTGAGTGAACATTACCCAATCGCGCCGAAGTAATCGTAAAATAATTCCTAAAATGTCTTTTGATGATAACGATGCACAAAAACCAAAGTTGCGGGCGAAGATTAAAAATGCCGAATATGGCTTTGTTTAATCTTTATGCCTATAAGTTAATTAGTACCTTACGTACCGCCATAATTTCTGAATTTAGGTTTTTTGCAAAATTTTTTTCGCAGTAAATTGTTTTCTTGATTTAATAAACATATGTAAATATTTTAGCGTGCGGCTTAAATTTTTGCTTATAAGGTATGATTCACATTTGACTACGGATACGAGTATAATTTTTAGAAACATTTATGAGCAACTCTCAATCAAATAAAAAATGCCAATTACACTGTGCTTTAATAAGTCGGTAAACTTTCATCCGATTTTTGAAAATAAACACTAATTTTTTCATTATTAAATTTAGTTTCGAAAGGCTCAAGCTTCCTCTTTTTAAACCCAGCAATAAACTGCAACTCGGTTCTTAATCAACTAAGTTACATGCTTATAAGTGAGCAAAAGTACGAAATACCGTTTTCTTAACGGTAAATCAGGATTCTGGGGGTGGTTGGCAAATTTGATGCTGATGTTTTGATCATTTTATTTATTTAAATTTTCCATGCCAAAATTTTTCTTATTTTTTTGAAATATAAATGTAGTTCATTCGACAGCAAAAAGACAATCTTTTTTTATCCAAAAGAAGTCTTGTAACATCCTCTGGAAAAAAAATCAAGGTACATTTTTAGCGACTTGAAACTTACACTACAAAAATTTAATTGGCTAAAAAACTGCGTACTCAAAATTTTTCTTCGAAATCGAATTGAGAAGTTGAAAATTATTGTATACTTATTTTTGACACTCACTGTATGTACATAAAAGTATTTATTTTTAAGCGCCACCCAGCAAAAGCTTGTAATGTTTTTTAAAGGCACTTATTTTGGTATCAATGAAGTAACGCATTACAAGTCGCCTCAAGACAATTTTCACCTTTATTTTTACATTTATTCGATTATCTCCTATGACATGCACATGTTAAAGTAACGCATTCTGTAAGCGCCGAAGATCGATTGGGGAAGCACTTCTCGAGAGTAACTGCTTACTTTCTAGTTTACAGAATGCGTTACTTTAATATGTGCATGTCATTAGAGGTGATCGAAGAAATGATAAATTGCTTGCCATTGCATTAAATGTAAAGATAATTTGTCTGGAGGCGACTTGTAATTCATTACTCCATTGATAGAAAAATAAGAGCTTCCCAAAAAATAAAAAGTTTTCGCTGGACATTTCACTGCCAACGCTTATTCACACACACATAAAAACATTTGCGTAGGTACCCTGCAGAAAAAAGTTATCAATCGATAACAAATAACCAACTTGTAGTTAGTTTTTTTGTGAGATTTCGATAAATATCTAAATTTTAATTATCTGTGACCAAACTAACTTTAAGTGAGTTGTAGAGTCGTGCAGGAGTCATGCAGACAATGCCGGCAGTTCGGTTTCTTTAAACACGCTTCTATGTAAATATACTCATATAAAATGCACTTTGAATACACTTTTTTTCTGCACTTCGCAGATGCTTTCTCGATATCAGGACTTATAAAATAAAGCTTATATTATCATTTTATTGTTATGTCTGATGGAATTAAAATATGGGACCAACTACAAAAGTACATATAAACAAATAAGCCAATATCTAATGTTAAATAAATAATGTAGATGGAAAATAAAATATGAAAAAAAAATCGTTTTTATTTATATTTTATGTCCAAAAGTAATTAGCTACAATTTAGTTGCAGAGGAAACAAGTTCTCACTGTTTTGCGGCAAACGCCCTTCAAAAGTAGTTAGTTACGGACTAGTTTGACTGCTGGGTAGTTACAGGTTAGCTATTAACTTACCCCCGTTTTCTGCAGGGTAGGTACGCGCACACGTTTTTCTTACATGCATACTAGCAAAGTTTCGGCTTAGTTTAGCTCAGTTAGCGGCATTGTAAAATTGCCACACTTTTCGCTTTTCTTTTATTACTTATCTTTCGTTACTATTGATGTTGTGCTGCTTTTTTGTATCCACGCTGGATTTTATTGTTATGAAAATTTCTAAATTTTTTCATATTTCGACATTTTCATGTTTAATGTTTCCAAACTCACCCGCTTATCTTTGTGTTAATTTCGTTGCGCAGACATTTTGATGACCACTAATTATGGCTCATAAAATTTTTGAGCAGTGAAGTGAAAAAACTTGCTGCGCTTTCGTTTACAAAAATATTTTATTCAAGCACGGTGGCGCATTTTCTACTAAATTTACAAAAATTATAAAAACTTACAACTAAGTAGGTATATACATATTGATGCTTGCGCCGTGAAGTTCGACTAGCAGCGGCTGATCAATTTTCGTTGTAGCAGCAGAGTGGCGAGCATTTGCATAACAACAAACAATTTAAAATTAAATTTATCAATACTCAACCAAACATAAACAAAAATAAATAAACAATATGTTTAACCATTAACAAAACGGTGACAGACAATGCATAAATTATGATGTAGTATTTCAGCATAATTTTAAGAAATTGAAAAAAATAACAAAATTAATTAACACAGAAAACATTACAAAATTAAAGAAGCGCATAAATTGATCACACAATTGCAAATATATAAGCAAATCGAAGTGATTGTAATTTTACTTTTGAGCGCACAGATATTTATTTTATCTAGCCATTGCTTTCTGCTCTGTTTTTATCCGCCTTTCAACAAATTTCTCTTCTATGATGCATTTAAAATGGCGTTCAGTCGATTAATTTAAACTCGATGAAAATTTGAATTAACTTAAATTACAATTATACAATTGGTGGCAGGTATTTGCCAGCCCCGCCACTGTTGCTGCCACCAGCGCTGCTGCTTGAGATACCAAAACTGTTGCCAATGTTACCGCCTGCGTTGCCCTGGTTGTGGTCCAGCGATCCAATTACCGAAGCGACTGGCGCAACGCCTTCGTCGGAGATCTGTGTGGTGCCACCTAGTTGATCGTATTGCTCTGCAAGTAAAATGGAATATAATTAATTGGAAAAGTCCTTAGTCATATTTTGTGAAGTTTCTACAAGAATCAAAAGAAATATACACATGAGTGTTTTTAAAACTTAAAAACTATATAAGCGACCGGCTTTTTCGATATAAATGAATGGCGTTTTCTTTTCTCGATATAATGTTGCCTTTTTTTTCTCATCCCTCTCACAGTTTTACATGTTCATTTCTCAAAATATTGCCCTCCATGCGACATGCATTTTAGTTGAAGCATTTAGCCGTTTTTTTTTTGCCAATTTAGCTGGTCGGCCCAAATTGTTCTGGCAGCACTGATCACCGGATTCACCGACGTCTTTGCCGGAACTTTTTCCGCTTTTAAATTCATTTGACTACTGTCTTCGTTTCTAAGCTGTCTCACTTTTCTGCCTCGTGGAAATATATATATTTTTCTCTATTCTACTGATATCGTATGATCTTTGGGCTGCAGCGATACTCCGTCATACCAGTTGTTTCTGAGTCCGCGGCAGTAACTACCTACCTCTACAGCAGCGATATGAAGGATTGGAAGATGGAATTACACTACTCAATTATGGCCGTAAGCGAAATTTAACAAAGTAGTGATGCCAGTCGGTGTGAGCTCCTTGGATAGAATGAATGTCTAGAACACCAGAAGTGTACATATGTACATTATGGTGGTCCAAAAAGAGTTTTAAAATGTTAAGCTCTCACCTCTAGATTTTTCCAGAATAAAAAAATACCCCTGTTTTCTTGTTAAAAAAGTGATATTTAGAACGGCATCCAAGACTATGTATTTTACGTGGGGAAAAATACTTTTTCGTAGAAATGGTATATAATTCTTAAAAATCTACATTTTTCGATCGGAAAACTTAGTTTCTTTCCAGAAGACTTTCAATAAAAATACCCATAATGGACAAAGAGTGCATCCAATATAACCACCATATCAGTGCGACCACTTTGTGAGGATTTTTATTTTGAAGAAGTTTTTATCGATATATTTGTAGACAACAAATGCAACCATGTTTTACGCAACATAATTGTTAAATTCCTCTGAAATTTTTTGAGCAAAAAGCTTTCCAAAGTTTTATAAAGAGTGAAATACACCACTCATACGGCTTTTCAAACATTACACCATACACCATGCAAACATGACTCGTTCCAGCAAAGAATTCTAGCTTTCTTCCGGTTCACAATGTAAAAGGGTTTGGTTTTCTTCGATTTTTCTCTCTTGCGTCCTCATTCGGTGAAAATTCCGTTGCGAATGAGGCGATTTTACCATACACATTGTAAGCGGTTTGATCAAACTTTAACATGGCGGCCAGAAAATCAAAAAATTTGGATTTTTGTTCACATTTCCCGCAAATGGCTTGACAAACCTTCAAACATCCCCATAAACAACATAAATAGCAGCGGGATATTTTTCTTGGTTTGTCAAGCCGCTTGTGTGGTGCTTTTCCCTGTTAAGCACATCTGCGTTTGCTGCTAAATATTCAAAATGTTATCGATAATTTTTTTTTGAATTTCATACGTGCTATTTTCAACTTATTTTGAACTTGCAAAATCTCGATAACGAGGGAGAGAACACGAATCGTTCGATCATAAGAATTTTCATATTGATTCTTCATTAGATCCAGAAAATTATCGGAAAAAAGTTTTTGAATTAAAAGATTCTTCAGGTTCATATAAGTTTCCCAATTAAAAAATACTATATCCACATTGCTAATATATCCCTTTTTTAATACTTCAGTAGAACGTATATTTAGTAGTTTAAAAATGTGTAGGACTGACTTGAAGACCAGATGGAGCACTGATATAGTTGCAGCAATATTATATACAAACCAAAGCTTAAAAAATAACGGTGATACTTGTTTGAGCCGCAAGAAAAAATGTACCAAATGAATTGCAGAATGTATGTAGTACACAATACTAATATCTGTAATAAGAAATTTTTTTAGTAATTTGTTGGATTTTGAGGATTTTTAATTTTTTTTGAGGAATTAGGTATTTTTTTTTGTGGCATCACATATGTCTCTGTAACTTTAAGTTGAAAATTACTCAAAAATTCTCAATTGACCTTGAATACAGAATGAGTCACCATATCAAACATTTAAAGCTCCCATATACAGAAGAGATCTAATTTGCATATAAGCAAGAAACATACATACATATGCAAATATAAACGAGCGGGCCCAAGAAGCTGATTACCGTAAACTATAAATCGAGTATAGAAGAATAGCGCTAAAAATATGTAAATAAGATAAGAGCAGATATTCGCTAATTGGGCATTGATTTTCGCGTCTAATGATTCATAACAATTTCCACAGTTTACCATTTTCTGGTGACGTTTTTCGAAATTTGTTACCTCCAACCATGCAGAGTTGCAGAATAGGAAGTAGAAATCATTAATGGTTTTATCAACAAAAAAAAAAAATCGATGAAAACCTTTCAATAGCGTTGTGGATATTAAATACTTATATAACTTTTTCCTGCTGTGAAATTTATGAAACGGCTTTCAAGCGCTTCTGGCGCATTCTCGGTAGGCGGGGTGAATGCCACCTAAATACTTGCCTTGGATTGTGCGTTGTGCATGTTGCGCTTCTTCTTGTGTGCGATACTTAATGAAGTACACTTCCGGTTTGCTGGGTTGCTTGGGTGCTGCCTCTTGGTAGGTTGCCTGCAAGTCAATTGGATCCGGTTTACGCGTAAGCACATAGATGATAGTCTTCTCTTCGGTCGGCGCTTGATTCACACGCAAGGCTGCAGCGCTAGTCTTATGTGATGGCGCTTTAATGAATACAATGCGATAGTGCTTGCGTGGCGGTGGTGGCGGCAATACCGGGCGCTGGTAGCGTTCCTCCTGCTCCTCGGGTGCTACATGCACATAAATGTCCTTGGTTACCAGAGATGGTGATTGTGCGTAATTGCCTTGTTGATATTGCTGTTGCGCGTAAGATGGGTGGGCGGGTTGTTGTAAGAAAAGGCTTGGCTGGAAGCCAGAGTGTTGTTGTGTTACCTGCGACAAAAGGGCGCCTTGATAAAAGTTATTCGGCGTTGCAGCGGTAGGCACAGGTGCTGGCGCGCTCACAGTGACGGGTGGAAGGTAGGTGGTGGGCGGTGCGCTGATGAGCGATTGCGCTAGTTTTGTATTTTGTAATGCCTGCTGCAGAAAGCTGGGAGTTTCGACTGCGGCAGAACTGCTGTGTTGTTGTTGTTGTTGCGCGCTTGATATGCTACTTATACCTGGGAGTTTGATTTGAAAGCTGTTCTGTTGATTTTGGAAACTGCTTTTCTGATTTTGATAGCTGTAGCCCTGCGGCTTGGCATAAGCCGAAGCGAGTAAGCAGAGTGTCTGAAATTGGTGAGAGAAGGCGTTAAATTTGGCAAATAATGATATAATATGTACTAGTGGATATAGATATAGTGGAATCTAAATAAAAATTTTTCACATTGCCATTCGTTAGAAAATATATATGTACGTCGAAAGATTGGTGGATAGGCAAGTCCGACCCTAGGACTATGTAGACAAAATTCAAAATCTATATAAAATATACCGAATTGCGACGACTTCGGTGGAGAATTCGGCGCTGAAGCTAAAATTAATGCAAGAATAATTTATCATAGAAATTTATCTAATAATAATAAGATTTTGGCGCTATCACTTTTGCTAAATATTTGATAGAGCCTCTCTTGGCTAGTTCATTCGCCACACAGTTTTATGTTATATTACTGTGACCCGAAACGCGCAGGCTATACTCTCACGCAAATTAGCAGCGAATCAACTACTTTCATAATGGCATCTAACACTCACTGAAGAACGTTAAAGTGATCTGAAAGTTAAGGGTTCCTACAATGGAGCTTTTCATCGATAATACCCGTTAAGTTTCAAGCCAGCCATGTAAATGTTCAACGGAGTCTTCCTTATAACGACTTCTTTCCTTCCACTTATGTTTAGCTGGGATCTAAGTAGGCGAAAAGCTAATTGGTGTCAATTAGTCATGCAGTGATCCACGTTATAAGGGATAAACCTCTTTGGTAAGTCAGCCAAGCACCCGAAGCCCTTAGGTCTGACTGTAGCCTTTGGTGTAGTAGCCTTACCAAAGATGACAACGGTTACTTTGTATCACCGATAAGAGCCAGGGTGTAAATGGTTGGTTAGTTTTAGTAGTTTGTTAACTTTGTAACAAGAGAGGAGCAAATTATAGAAATTTTGAAACCACAAAATAAACAGCCATCTGGCGATTTGATGAACTTCTGTATATCATGCAGAGAGAGTACTGAAGTACTCAGCTGGAATGTTGAAATGATGGAATGATAAAAGAATATTCGAACAGATATCCGAATATACGGATAGTCTCCGGTCTATTATTTATTTGGCGTAAACAGACTTTTTGCTCAGTCAAAATTTTGTAAACGAAACACTTTAGTATTTTTGAATTAAAATTGACACCATGCGCAGTTATTTAAATAAATATTTTTCTAGCCCTTCTAATTAATTTTATATAAATGCTCAGAAAGATTGCAATTCCCTGGGACCTGGCTCGGCTATCGAGGGCGCTCGGAAAACACACACCATTTTTTACCATTTTTTACAGTTCTTAGTGGAAATTTTTGACAGGTCTTCGTTATAAAGTCTCAAAAATTAAATTACTCGCTTACGTATACAATCATTTCGTTCACTAGCCAAAACTTAAAAATTTTTCCGTAAAATTTTTAACTTACAATAAAAGCGCGCATCTTTCTTTTTTTGTACAACACAATGCGAACAGTTTGGAGCGAACTCAAAAATTAAACACCAATTGTACGCGACACACTTAACACGACCCCAGTTGGGACTGAACCAATTGGCAAATGCAAATCAACTAAATGTTAATCAGTTGAAAAGCAATCTTTTATAACACTACCAAATTTGAAAATTACTGCTGCACAGCAGTTAACCAAAAATAACAGTCGAACACATGCATAAAGGTAAAGTAGGTGACCAAAAGCTAAGCACGCGAGTTCATTTGGCCCATGCAGATGAAGAGGACGACGAAGAAGAAGAAGAAGAAGTTGAGAGGGCGCACAAAATGCATTGTTGTGAAGTGCGATAGTTGTACCTAAAACCAAAACGAGTTATACGCCAAAAGCGCCAAAAATTAGCTAAGATAAGAAGTGACGAATAAGAGGAAGAAGAAGAAGCTGAGAAACAAAAAGGCGCGCTTGGCACAAGCTGAGAGCGCGCGTAAAAGCTCAACTACTGTGAACAACCAGCTTGGAGTACGGTGTGTGTTTTGATACTCGTAGACTTTTTACACGAGTGCCTGTGTGTGCGAATTTGATTAAATTATTGCTGTAATATGCAGGTAATGAAATTCACTGGATGCCACCGGAAGTCTAATTTCCACATACGCATACTAGCGCACACACTCGGGTGCTGGAAAAAAAAAATTGACTTAGATCGAAATGACAAAGTGATGAGTAAACATAAGGGGTTTATTAATTTTCCCATCTCCAACAATTAGCCAAGTTCCCGTGCAGCTTTCCATTAATGCCCATATGCAATTATGGCGTTGGCAGCAATTTTCGTGGCCTATTTTTTTCGCTGTCAAGTTTGTCGGTTACCCAACGGCGCCAACTGATGACCCATTGGCAAATCAAAGAGTCGTGTCGGATTTGGGCACTTGTTGGAAATAATTGTTGCCTGCCAACAACCGTTTTCCGTGAGGCTTAACACAAAGATTACTGAATGGCATTGTAAACGCTCATTGCTTTTCGCCTTAGGGCGCCTTGGCGGGCAGATCATGATCACCCAGCGGGTGTCTGCAGCTCACACATAGATCGCTTACGGTTGGGTAAACAGTAATAAGCTGCCGACGTTTATCGCTTTATCTAAACCTGATTTGGGGTATGGATATTATGCCAATTGCAACTTGTTGAGTAGGGTTTGCCGGGCAAATTGACAGCTGATCCACCTTTCCTTGGTTACAAGTTTGAAAAGATAGCTTTGTTTTTCCTGTTGCATAAAACTAATTACCTTTTATAACAAATCAAGCGCATAAGTATGACAAATTTGCAGTTATATAACCAGCTTGCGAATGGAAGACAGCCGAAAAGTAATTGTCGTAGAAATTGAAGTGAGTGGAACTTCACGCTTTCCATACCTTAGTCCCAATTGCTTCAATAAAAATAAAAAAATAAAATCGCTTGCAATCTCAATCTATTCATACAATTTACTTATATCATCTTCTTTAATTAAAGATAGCAAATCGAAGATTAAAATTATCTGCAAATACTTTTTGCAAATACTGCGCTTGTGACCTTCGTTGTAATTGTGTGAATATTGTGCCACAAACTCAATAACCTGCTTTTGACAGACTTATTTAACACTTTCAACGCTATTAATTAAAAATCAACCAGTGAAAATATTTACACTGCATTTGAATTGAATTTGCTTATCATTCATTAGTATCAAAAATACTTTTTTGTCCGAATACTATTGCCTTCGTAGATCGGTGTCATTGGCTGTTGCTGTAAGCATTTGAATTTCTGTTGTTTGTTATAGCAATGTCCGTGGGATTATCTTTATACGGTAGTTTTTTTTTATTTTTGCCAGGTCTTCTCGCATGTAAACACTTTGGTCTATTAAAAATTTACATACACTGACTTTTTTCACTGGATTGCCTTCGTAGGGGATTAAATAAAAAATAACAACGCAGTCAAGTTGGTTTATTGTTTCGTGATGGAGGGCGAATTCGCTGAGGAGGTACATCATCTTCTTGTCCGCGTTTATCACCAGACTCATTCGCTTTACCTCCCCGAACAACTTGGAAATGATAGGACCAGCAGAGCGGCTACTAAGGCCGTTCAAGTCGAGATCATGTTACGTTACTCATCCTTATGTTACTCAACGTTTCGCGGGGTCCTTAAAATCGATGAGGAGATATTGTGGGTTGCTCCCCTTATAGCGGCTATTTTACACGATTTATCGCATGCTGAATACCTCGCCTACAACAATGCTGATAAGAGCAAATCAGTTGGTGGAGTTAAGCCTTTCACACAATACGCTCGATAATATCGTATAGTCTATGCTTAGGAGGCTCATTGTACGACAGTCGACGCCTATGGCAGATTCGCCTTTCTTATGGATTGGACAGAGCATATGTCTGTGAAGTTGGCATACGGAATGATGCAAAACGAAAAAAAACTGTTCTGAGTAAATTTTCAATACTTCTAGAGATCTTGAAAATGAAGAAAGTGCTGGATATTTGACAAAAAAAAAAAAAATTCTGCAACAAATTTTGTATATGCCAGATTCGCGCAGCATATGCCACACAGTGGTGCGTCCCATAAAAGTTAGCCGGATAAGTTTATTTTATGAATTATTAGATTTTAAACCAGTATGTAGTACATATCCGTACAATTTATAGGCCAAAAGCAATGCATACAAATTTTTTTCCCCAAATTTATATATTCAAAATTTTTTGAAAATGCCAAATGAATACCAAACGGCTGAAATTATTAAAATCGTACAATAACCACGCCCATATCCCATATAACGGTATTTTAGAGAAATGCGAAATCTTCGATAAATCAGTATATACTGAAGCTAATTTATTCAAAATATATAAATTCTTTAGCAAAAAAATACGTTTATGATAACATTTTGGAAAAGGGGCGTGGCGCCGCCCACTTATGACCACTAATGCGTATCTCGGTAAACGTTCTATCCATTTGTATCAAACTCGGTACGATTATTGTTCCCGCCACATAAAAGCATAACGTTGAAAATTGTTGAAATCGTGCTAAAATTACGCCCAATTTTCATATAACGGTAAATTTCATAAATGCTTGAAAGTTCGATACTTCGTAATTTAATTTACTCAACATTGATATTAACAACAATCGCTCGAAAATGAGTAACATTATTTTGGGCTTTTGGAAAATGGGCGTGATACCGCGCACATATAACTATATAAGTTTATCTCATTATGTCTAACTGAACGTTCTATCGAAGATGTTTGAAATAGGCGTAAAACCACTCCTGCTATATAAAACTATATTTAATACTTGCCCCGGGTATTTAATTTTCGGCTCCGCCCGAACCTAGACTTTTTCACTTGTTTTATTTTGGGTTCTGTACATGAAATGAGCTAAGCGAGGAATTTTTTCTGTTTTCTGCGGAGATATGATCTGCCGAAATTTAGGTTTTCTCGTGATTCTAATAATCATATACTTATTCAAATCGTTATATCTCGGGTTGTGCTCATCGCAGAAACTTCATCTTACCTTGGTTTTAAAGCTAAATAAGTGGGCTTAACATTTCTGTATATAAGAAGGTCATGATTGTCCTAAATCTATCTTAGCTATGTA